CTCAAGTTTCTGTTCTTATTTGAAGTTAATGTAATTTGTAACAAGTGACATTAACTTTGATTAATACAAATTTAGTTATCTCTTTCACATATTCTTCTTTATTTATTTTTTTTGAACGACAAACAAGAAACTTTATTGATGAATGGAAAGAGTACAAGGTACTAAACAAACACCAATAAAGAGAGGGAAGTGCAAAAGTATCACAATGGGCTAAATGATCCCAACTAGATTGGCACCAAAGAACTCATCCTATCATTTGCTAGCACCTCCAAAGTTGGTGAGAAACCAACCTACGAAACAAAACAAACACCTCAACAAATAGCATAATAGCAGAAACAAAGCCCACAGAACAACATAACAAAACAGAAATCAAGTCTCCATTAGCATAACCAGCAAACTTAGCCATACTCCAACAACTAGCATAACAGACCCAAAATAAAGCTCACAGAATAGCATAACAAAACAGAAACCAACTCTTCATCAGACTTAGCTAGCAGACTTAGCCACCAGACGCACATAGCTGCAAACAGAATAGAGACAGAGCTGTAAACTGAGCAGATACAGGACTAGATCAACTCAAATTGCACAGCAGGAGAAATGGTTAACATTGTAAATTACAAGCAACCTACAAGTCTCCATCAAAACAGATCTCCTAAGTCCTTCCACCTAAACAGAATCTGATTTGTGAAATGTTATAAAGGAAGTCATCAATCGAGAATGAAATACCCTTGGTTGCAGCTTTATACCATATAGCAATACAACTTTGGTTGAGAACCTTGAAAGAGGCACTTATTTCTGTGCTTCCAAATTGACCAAAGAATCACCGAAGGAATTGCACTCCAAATTCTTCTTTATTTAATTACCTTTAAAGAAATTCTTAATCTATTTAAGGCATAGAAATCACAAATATGATATATTTTTGTTTTGCAAAAGCTAAGTTCTGCTTGCCGATTGGCTTTTGTTGATTAACCTTAACCAAATTTTTGCTAGCACATACATATATCTATAGAGTTATATTGCAAACCCTATACACAGTTTTGCCATTGTTGGTGGGTGCCAGGAGATGGTGGGGGTGGCAAGGTGGTGGTTGGATAGGGAGGGTAGTGGTGGCGACTGAGTCTACAATGTTGGATGTTGTGTTTTGATTTGCACTCGATGTGTCACCATAGGGCTGGTATTGTGTAAGCATCAGTGTGCTTCTATGGGTATATTAAACCAATGAAGATGATGAGTAAACATAAACAAAATTATCTATCATTTGTTAGTGGCTATAAGTAGAAATAGACAAATGTTTGGAATACACAGCAATTTAAGGTTTAATTTGTTAAAAAGGCTAAAAACCCTATTTTTGTTTATGTAATTTTCTGTGACAATTATTTTGTATAGGAATAAGCTAAGTACATAGATTATATATCACCAAATGAATTTTATACTACTTACATAAATGCATATAATAACAGTGAAATTCATATTGATGATATATAAAAACCTCTTTATACCCTGTACCTAAAAAATGATTCATCTTAAGCATTCACTACGGAGTCAAAACCCCATAGGAACCACAACCCTTCTTCCCCACCATATTGCCATTGCCCACACGACGACAACATAGATTGAAAGGACTGTATGATCCACATGCAACTCCACTATTATTTTTATGTATAAAGAAAGAGAAAGAACTGTATTGTATTGAATTGTATTGATTTTTGTATTGATGATTACAACTCTGTATATATAGATTGAGAAGGTGGGAGGTGATAGGTGGTAGTGGTAGGTATAGGTGGTCGTGGAGGTGGTAGGTGTAGGTGGTAGTGGAGGTGGTAGGTAGTGGTAATTTATACAATTTACATTAACAGCCCCCCTCAAACTCAAGGAGGATAGGTACTAGCCAACTTGAGTTTGGAGAGAGTAACAAAACAGAAAAATAAACTGATAAATAAAATAAAACAGGCTAGGAGACACGGTATGGTCGTGTCAAACCGTTGTAGGAGACACAGTGTGGTTGTGTCAGACCGATGTAGAAGACAGTTTATGGGGTCATGTCGGACCGTTGTAGCAGCTGACCGGAATCAATGTCGGGACAGTTTATGGGGTAATGTCGGACCGTTGTAGCAGACAGTTTACGGGGTCATGTCGGACCGTTGTAGCAGGACAGTTTACGAGGTCATGCCGGACCGATGTAGCAGACACTATGTGGTCGTGTCAGACCGATGTAAAAGACAGTTTATGGGGTCATGTCGGACCGTTGTAGCAGACACTGTGTGGTCGTGTCAGACCGATGTAAAAGACATTTTATGGGGTCATGTCGGACCGTTGTAGAAGACAGTTTACGGGGTCATGTCGGACCGTTGTAGAAGCTGTGGTGGTGCACCGAGGAGGCGACTTAGGGAGTGCGCCATGGGGTGGCTTGGGTGGTTCGCATGGTGTGTAACCATGCTCACCATGATATATGGATAACCCCCCCTCAAACTCAAATAGGTGTGAAGATAGAAACCTATTTGAGGTTGAAACAAAGGGATTGATAAAGCTGGCCGGTGTAGAAGACACTGTATGAGTGTGTATATAGGCTGCCCAAAAGATATACATGGATCTAGATATCGAGCCCTCAAAAGTCGTGCCCTCTCAAAAGGTGCGCCCGCACCCTAAAAAGGCGTGCCATCAAAAGGCGTGCCCGATTCATCAAAAGGCGTGTCATGAAAAGGTGTGCCAGGTTGTCGGCGTCAAGAGGCGTGCGATGCGCGTGGCTGCTTCTGTGTCATGGTCTTTATAAACCGAAGCGGAGGAGGCAGAAACTGAGACAGAAAAACTGAGAGAGACCTCTGAAAAATTCTTCGTTTTGCTGAGAAAGAGAAGTCGTTTTGCTGAGAGAAAATGGCCTCGTCTTCCCGTGGACTGCTCACCCTCTTTTCCGATCTCAATGAGTCCACAGGAGAGAGAGCTGGTGCGGTGGCCAGTGAAACTCAACCAAGCGCTTCCGGTTTTGCTCCGTTGAACTTTCCGATGCGGTCTGTGGAGCAAAAAATGGCAGTGCAGTCGGATGTGGAGGCCAATCAGTATACTTTGAAGTCATGTGTGGAAACCATGACTGCGGTGACAAACTTGTCAAACCGGCTGCAGAGTAGGACAAATGAGGTGCAGCAGTTAAACTCCCAGCTGGCTCTGCTCCAACGCATGTATAAGGATGCGCGAGCAGAGATAAGTGTGCTGAAGGCGGAAAATAAGGAGCTGAAGCGGAAGGCCACCGTGATGTTTCGATTTGGAGGTCCGCCATATGCTGCAGTGGAGGAGCAGGGGGCAGTGAACGTGCTTGGCGGTCTAGGAAGCACAGAGGCAACACCGGCAAGGGCTGCCCAGGACGGAGGCAAGAAGAAAAGACCGGTGGCAGAGTAGAGAAGAAAAAATCCCACTTGTGGATGTGGTTGTTGGGTTTTTTTTTTTTTTTTTTGTGTGTGTAAAGTTTTTTTTTGTGTAAAATTGTGATCGGGGTTGATCCCCGGATATGAATAAAAGGAGTGTGGTGTGCAGTTTCGTCTTCTTCCTTTTTGTTGTTGTTGTTTTTTTTTTTTTTTTTTTTTTTTTTTTTTGATTAATGTATTGATCTATTTTCTTTATCCCAAAAAAACAGAGGTGGGTGAATAATATAAAAAAAATAAAAAGAAATGAAAAGAGGGGGACAAAAGTGAGTGTTGATGAAGTGAGTGGGTGGGTTTAGTGTTTTGTGTAAAAAAAGGAAGTGAGTGGGTCTAGTGTGTCTTTACCTTTCAAAACTCAAAAGAGAGAGTCAGTGCATAGAGAGAGATTTCAAAACTCAAAAGATAGAGTCAGTGCATAGAGCGAGAGAGAGGTTCGTAGCCCCTCTCCATTTGTGCTGGGTTTGCTGAGAGAGAGAAGAGAGAGAAGGTACAGATACAGTAGCCGGTGATACAGAAATGGACGATGTAACCGTCGTCGCCGGCGAGACCACCGCCGCAGACGACGGCGACACTGGTGGTGGTGTTGATGTCGAAGGTGTACCCTCCAGTTTTGGAGCAGCAGGAGAGAAGTATGGCCTATGATGGTGCCAGAGAGATCGACGGTGTCGAAGGTGTTGGGTCGAGAGCATTCGAGCGGCGGTGGTAGGAGAGGGAAGCAGAAGCAGCGCTGGGAAAAAGTCATCATCATGGGACAGAGTAAAGGGCCCGTGATCTCCCGAGGAAGACGCGATTCTGAGTCAGCTTGTGAGCGATTTCGAGGCGAGGAATTGGAGCTTGATCGCCTGAGGAATCTCAGGAAGATCCGGGAAATCGTGCCGCCTCAGGTGGTGTAATCAGCTAGACCCTGCCGTCAAGCGCAAGCCCTTTACTGATGAAGACACCACCAACTCCACCTACCATCTCCACTACCACCCACCACCTCCACTACCATCCACTACCACCACTCACCTATCTCACCTACTCCCAAAACCTCTCCTATATAATAGCTTGTAATATACAAAATCAATACACAACAATCTTGTAATACATCAATCAATATCAATCAATAATACATAAATTCTTACAATTTTGTATAGGAATAAGCTAAGTACATAGATTATATATCACCAAATGAATTTTATACTACTTACATAAATGCAAATAATAACAGTGAAATTCATATTGATGATATATAAAAACCTCTTTATACCCTGTACCTAAAAAATGATTCATCTTAAGCATTCACTACGGAGTCAAAACCCCATAGGAACCACAACCCTTCTTCCCCACCATATTGCCATTGCCCACACGACGACAACATAGATTGAAAGGACTGTATGATCCACATGCAACTCCACTATTATTTTTATGTATAAAGAAAGAGAAAGAACTGTATTGTATTGAATTGTATTGATTTTTGTATTGATGATTACAACTCTGTATATATAGATTGAGAAGGTGGGAGGTGATAGGTGGTAGTGGTAGGTGTAGGTGGTAGGTGTAGGTGGTAGTGGAGGTGGTAGGTAGTGGTAATTTATACAATTTACATTAACATCCACAACTAGGTTGTTCAATCTCTTTACTCTCTTTCATCTCTGCTAAAACCTTGTAAAAATGATCAACCTCACATGGAAGCAAAAGAGGTCCTTCACTGTTGAACCCATATTCCATTTCAGCGTCTTCAAGAAGCATTTTGAACAATGGGTGATTTGCATACTGAATCCTCACCACAAACCTTTGCCTCTCTGATCCGACATAGACTGGGAAGCAACCTTGTGTAGCTATTACTTGGTGGTTCTTGGTGTTGGGCATGTCATCGTCGTCTTTGGATGATTTTGTGGTGTAGTGCCATGAATTGCTCCTTGAAAAAATACTTGAAGGCTTCGGTGGAGATTTTCTGTTCTCACGGACTCCACAGATTGATCGACATCGCTCCGATGTCTTAACGAACAAACTCTTTTTCTTTTTTACCTTAACAACATCCATTTTACCCTCAAAACAGCCTACAAGTTTTTTCGAAGAAAGAGAAGAAAAGAAAAAACTTAGTACATGGGACTTGTGCTGAAGCAATGTCTGAGAAGGAGAAGATTTGCATAGCTTTATCTCCATTTTTATATTGCGTCACCAGAAATGCTAATAACAAGCTTTACTGTTGTTTGGTCTTCAAAAAAACAGAAAAAAAGAAAAAAGAGAGAGAGAGAAAAAAAATTTCTTGGGTTGTTGTTTGAGGGTTGTATCATGCTCTATCATGAGCCAAATTGAACATAGACCTCATTCTTGGCCTTGTTGTATTTACTCATCATGCCTCAATGAGCTTATCTTGAAAAACAGAAACTTTGAATCATTCAAGGAAGATAGATTTTGCTAAGTGTAAAAGAAGAAAGAAATCAAAAAAGAAGAGTTGCTGAGAAAACAAAAGCATTTCAGAGAAGTGGTTTAAGAAAACGTACCCATAAAAGAGATGGAAACAAAAGATAGAGCCTCGGGACGACAGAGAGAGAGAGAGAGTGTTTCGTTCTGGGTAATCGCTGTGTAGGAGAGGCCTCACTTATATATAGATATGCAATACTCCTCACTATTTGGAATTTGTCAACTCTACAATAAAAGTTTGAATAATATGCAATACTTCATGAATTTTTCTTTTCCATCCCTAGCAAAACAATGGCCACGTTTGTTTGTTGATGATATTAGATAAGGTTATGCATACAGTGAAATTGAATGAAGAGATTAGTTAGTTAGAAATATAAGATAAAATGTATTTATTTGTATAATAGTATGGTGATATTAATTAATTGAGATTAAACATATAAAATTTCATAATTATTCTTCTTCGATTATTCTAGTCATACATGGGATGAGTGGGTCCACCTCACTCATACCCTAATATCTCTCCCCAAACTTCTAATCAAGCATGATCTAAATGTGAACAGAATTTATGCACAGAGAAATATTCAGTAAAATAATATATAATTTAAATCAAACTCATATTTTATAAGGGCTCACATTTATAATGAATGTGAAACACAATAATTTTCTCGATATATTTATGTGCACGAATTTTGTTTACGCAGCATTGCTCACATTTCTTTCTAAGTAATGTTATATAAATAAAAAAATATGAAAAATTTATACAAAATGATTTGACACTATTATAAACCTATCAATTTCAAACAAACAATCTATCAAGTTAACTATTAATTACATAAATATATGCCACTGCCATAAAATTCTGTGATAAATGAACTCTTTACAAATATTTTTAGTAAAAATATCTTTTTCTTTTCATATATTCCATTACATATATAAAATGGGAAGGATTGAAGTCTCATATTATACTTTGTTTAAGAGAATTTTATAATACACTTGCACTTTCACTTTACCAAACGCTCAGTTATACCTTTAGTGATTTTTAATTATAAATTTAAAACATTTCTAATGATAAATACTATAATAGTATATTATTATAATTTGACAATAAATAATAAAAAATGATAGAATTATAACAATAGTGCTTCAATGGTCAGATGCTATTTTGGCAAAACCAAACACAGAAATTGGTGTGTTCAGGACGACCGTCAATTTCTACGTTTGGTTCTGCCAAAATGACAGTTTTGCAAAAATTTATTTGTTTTGCTGAGAGGAAAGGAAGGAGGGAGGGATGAAAATAGTTCGTTTTGACTGAGTTGATGAATATTTCAGTTACTGAAGCTTGTGTCAAATTGGGCATAAGCTTTGACATTTGCCATTTTTGACAGCTTTCATATTTACCATTTTTGACAGCTTTCATATTTACCATTAGAGCACTACTGCTGTTATATTATAGTAATGACAGTTTCAATGGCAAATCATTGGAGACGCTCTTAGTAGTGTTTTGTTATGCCGCGTCGATATGGTGTAAAGTGGTTGCACTACAAGAAAAAACACTTTTGGCGACCAAATTTAGTTACCAAAAAAGATTTGGTCGCCAAAAGCTATTGAATTAGCGGTCAAATATTTTGTTAGTCGGCAAAAGTAAAAGATTTAGCTACTAAATCTTTTTAGTCGGTGTAAATTGCTTATCGGCGACTAAAAAAAATTTAGTCGCTAATTATCAAACAATTGGCTACTACGATATTATTTAGTCGCTAAAAATTGAATAATTGGCGACAAAATTAAATTTTAGTCATTGTACAGTGACTTTTGGCTACTAAAATTATTTAGTAACCGAAAGATATTGTGCCAATTTTTTTTAATCGAGAAATATAGTTTATTGGCGACCAAAAAATATTTTTGTCGCTAAATATTCCATCATTGGCTACTAAAAGAAATTTTAGTTGGCACTAGTATATATTTTAGGCTACCAAATTATTTTTGGTCGGCGTATTATACCTTTTGCCAACAACATAATATTTAGTCACCAAATGTCGGAATATGATATTGAAAACTTTTTAGTGACAAGCAAACATAGTCGTTGTATATGTTTTTTAACATTTCCCGACAAATACAGCATTTAGTCGCTAAAGATCGAAATTTTTTAGAGGGATTTATTTTATATTCGCGCCTCACACATTTTGCCTCTGTGTACCACCACCGCCGCTCTCTCACACAGATCCTCTCTCTCACACAAATCAATAACCAGCAAACCTCACCACCGCGCATCCTCAGCACCGTTTTCCCTGTACGCCTCAAATCAGCACCGCCACCGCAGCTAACAGGTTGGGTTTCTTTCTCACTCCCTTTCGGTCTCTTACTCAGTCGGTTTCTGTCTCGGTCACACTCTCTCTATCTCTCTCTCTCTCTCACACACACACACTACCCTTCTTCTATTTCCCCATCTGGTTTTGCTCTAGGGTTGTTTATTCTACCCATTCAGTTTAATTTGTTGTTCATTTCTGCAATGGGTTTGTTTGTAGTGGTTTCATTATTAGAGTTTTATGGGTTTCATGTTGTAAATGGGTTTGATTTTAGGGTTTGATGCCTTTCCCCCTCTTTTTCCTTTCTTTCTCATTATTTTCAAAGCCCTAATCCATTGATTGTCTATGTATTTGCATGTATGGGTACTCATTGATTGTCTATCTAATCTCATGTATTCTGATTATTTTCATTGAAATTTTTTGTCTTGTATTCTACTCGTCATTATTTTCTAAATCTGTTTATGTAAATCTGTGTATAAAATTTACAAACACAGATAATCTGTGTATGTATTCTGAGATTGAGATTGAGATTATCTGTGTATGTATTCTGAGATTGAGGTCTTTGTCACGAAAAACACAAAAAAAAAGTATGTGTTTGAAAGTATGTGTTTGAAATTATAAGTGTTTGAATGTATGTGTTATAATATCAATATCTAATACATTTTTTTTAAAAAAAAAATCATGATAATGAGTTGATTTTACACATATTTGTTTTTAAGTTGTCTTGGTTATCAGAGCATATGATCGAGCTGCAATCAAGTTCCCAGGTATTGAAGCTGACATTAATTTTAATCTTAGCGATTATGAAGATGATTTGAAACAGGTTGGAAAATGCATACATTCTTTTTAATCATTTCACACCAAGGATTGTTGTTTTCACTAGTAGGTTTGGTTTGTTCTTAGCTCCTTTTGAATATCTGCAAATGACGAATATGACCAAAGAAGAATTTGTGCACATACTCCGTCGCTAGAGCACTAGTTTCTCGAGGGAGAGCTCAAAATACAGAGGGGTGACTCTGCACAAATGTGGCAGATGGGAAGCTCGAATGGGGCAATTCCTTGGCAAAAAGTGAGGAACTATATCTCTTTAAAATTTCAAACACTTGTTTATATCGTAGGAGTGGCAATTGAATATAAACAGTTTAAGGATCTTTATTAGTGTGAGCTGAAAATTGGTTTTAGATAATTCACAATGGGTTTTCTTGTGCTTGTCTGGAAAATAAATCTAGGATGTCTATTTGAAAGAAAAACATGATTGGGAACCCATTATTTATCTTGGGGGTAATGAGCTTGTGTTGCAGGTATATATATCTTGGGCTATTCGACAATGAAGTAGAAGCTGCAAGGTCTTTATGATCATGAATTATACTCTCTTCCTGATACTGAATTTATTACCCTGCATTCTCAACCTCAATTGGTTGTCATTCAACACGTATCTCCCTTTTTTATTTTTTGAAAATTAGGGCTTACGACCTAGCAGCTATCAAATGTAATGGAAAGGAAGCAGTCACCAACTTTGAGCCAAGTACGTATGATGGGGAGATGATCTCTGAGGCTTATCACGAAGGTATTGCTTTATTATGCTTATGTTTAATCTTTTATATAGCTTTGTTTTTTTGGTTGCCTTCTATAGTACTATTAGCTACTTTGTGTGGACGAATGAAGTATTCAAGACTTTCAATGTAGGTGGCAACCACAATCTTGATCTGAACTTGATGATTTCAACCCCGTCTTCTGGAGATGGCCCAAAGGATAATGGAAGTTTGAGGCATTTGCAGTTTCATCCTTACGAAGTCCACGGTGCAAGGAGATCAAATGTAATACTTAAAATTATACTTTCTATTTTCCCTTTTCTGGCCATTGTAATTTTATGTTCTTCTGCTTTTACTTGACTATGAAAACTGCTGAATCTATTACCTTAGTTGGAGACTAATTGATGTAGAGAACCCTGTTGATGTTCAATCTGTTTGCTTTTGGTTTCCCACAAAGAATACATTTAGCTTGTTCTTGTTCTTTTAATGCCATAAAATGTTGAAACATGTTATCTGCATCTTGAATGTTGAAGCTATTAATAATCCATTTCCTCTAATTCTGCTATTATAGATGGAGAACCCTGCAACAACTACATTAGGGAATCCAACTCTTAAAGGGCAAGCAATGACATCAGACCACCATCCCTTGTGAACTGGTTTACATCCTAACTTCTTTCCCAATTATGAGGTAAATTTTATAACCTTTGTTTCAAAATGTATGAAATTTAGTTGACTTTAATCATCTTATTAGCTTAGCAGCATTTGTCTGTTTTCCCCCAAACCAGTACGCTATTTGCAATAACCAATCATTTGATTTGCCAAACTTTCCATTTGCTTGCAGCTGGATTCCTTAAAAAATTATCTTCCTAAAAAACAATTTACAGACTGGATTTCATTCATTCTT